AACTCTTTGTCTCCCTTTCAGAGGCGGTCCCTTATCAAAGACAAGTGTTTCCTGTCCGCCACAGAGTGTTTGCAGAAGCTGATGTAAGTCACCATCCATAACCTGTGACTGACAACCAGAGCCAATGGGAATTTTCTGCATATTGGGAAATGCTGTACATTTACACCTGTTTACAAAAGCATATCTGGGTTAGCCTGCAAGAAAAGTTGTTTCTGATACTTTTCATCTTCAACTGAAATAATAACTTCTATAGAACTATTTTTTTTTCCCCCAAAACTGTCAAGACAATATCTAGTGTGTTTAAATGCAACCCTCCCCTGGCAAACATGTCCCCTTAATTTTGCGGGGACATTCCTGCATGAAATCTGACTTTGATGAAATGGAGTTCACTTGTGCCAGTGCGCATAGCAAACTGGGCCTGGCTGTGACTGCTGGGTCGTGATAGAGCCCATTTCTCTGGACACATGAAGCTACATGAGGGTTATCCATCCAGTGTGTCATCCCAAGATGTTAATGTAGCAAAGTAGAGCTCAATTTAAGAAGCTCAGCTTGCTTTATTGGCTTGAAGTCCAGCCTAGGGAATGGTGCTGCAGTAACGAGTGGGAAGAAAGATAAAGGGGAGCAGGGAAGTGTTGTGAGATCCATCAGACAGGAGCTCTCAGGTCCCAAAGTACCAGTAGTCCTGGTGAGAGCCTCCTGATGAAAGTCAAGGTGACTTCTCTTCTGAGGAAGGCAGCACAGGCTACGTGTACCTTGGCAGGGTGTTACAGGCAGAAAAAAACAACCTTACAGATGCGACAACTGTATTAGTCCCTCGCAGGAGCAGTATCTTGGTAGAATTGCCCAAAGTGGTTGATCTCATACTCTTTAGCTTTTATTTGAGGGATTGTGATCTGGGTTAGTCCTGTCTAAAATGAAAGACAGACACTAGGGTGAGCAGGTCATATTTAGGACTCGGGAAGACTCAAGGTCCATCTGGATGATGTCACACCCTGGTGATGCCTCCTGGCACAACCCCGTTGACCTCTTTTTGGTGCAGCCATTTGAGATGATTGATAGCCTTTTTTTGTAGCATGACGGGCTGCTCTGAGTTTTTTTTAGTTCTGCTTTATCTCTTTAGCTGTGTCGTGGATCTTTGACATGGCTGTTTTCACACTGACAGCACCACGGTGGATCCCCGGGAAAAGCTGGTGATCCTACAGAAGACGTATGAGGAGATAGAGAGCACAGTGTCCCGGGTGGTGGAGAAGGACTACAAGCTCCCCATGGATGACCTGTTGCCCCTACTGATGTATGTTGTATCCCGAGCAAAGTAAGTGGAAGCTTTTCATTTCGCAGTCCCGTTGCTGTGTGCTACCTCAATCAGAGAAAGGACAGCCACGTTTCCAGGCCAAATAGTTTAAATAAAAAACTGGGTTTTTTTTGTTTTAACATGCTTTTTCCTCAGCTGTATTGGGGTTTCTGTGTGCTACTGTCTGCTGGCTGTGGTGTGATGCTGCTGGCCATGGTGTGATACTGCTGGCCATGATATGAAGCGGCTAAGGACTTCCTGAGTGTCCATCTGTTACCCAAGAGGATAGTTCAGGGTTGTCATGGGAAATGCAGTCTTACCCACATCTCAGATTAATGTAGAAAATAGGAACACGAAGCCTTTGAAGGCCAACCGTTGATGCCTTCAAGGCATCATCTGAATATCATACATCTTCTCTTTTCCATTCTCAGTGGGGCACTGTGATTCTCTTGGGAGCCTACAAAGGTCTTGAACATGACCATCTAGTAGTGTAGGAATGACTGTCCCGTGTAGGAATGACTGTAAATATAACACATTTCTGCCGAAGAGGCTCTGTCTGCGCTGCTGTCACTGGGACTGCAGGAGCCTGTTTACGTCCAGTAGAATGAAATGGTACCTTTTTTTCCTGGCAAATTGGGGTCAAAATCCTTGATTGATTTCCTGGATATGCTTGGTCTCCAAAAAAGGGTGAAACGTTTAAATTTGGGGCTGTGAAATCCTGTGGTTGTGTTGGATGATGCACGTTTGTTTGCTAGTCAGCTTTCTCGGCTGTAGATGAGAGATGAGGGGAATCACAGAATCCCAGAATGGCAAGGGTTGGAAGGGACCTCCGGAGATCACCCAGTCCAACCCCCCTGCTAAAGCAGGGTCAGCCAGAGCAGGGGGCACAGGACATTGTCCAGGTGGGGTTTGAATATCTCTCTAAGAGAGACTGTACAAAATGGAAGGCTTGAATTATGATCGAGCACCTTTGCTGAGATCTAGTCACGCCAGATACCTCAAGGACTCAGTGTCCAGAAGATCAAAGCGATGTACAAGGAATCAGCAATGGAATTCCAGATCCATGCCTCCTTCTCTCCATCATCTGATTTCAAACATAATACCCACAAGCACTGGTGCCCAGAGATTTGTTCTAGTTGCGCCTTTTTTTTTCCCTAGAATCCAGCACCTGGGAGCTGAAATCCATCTGATCAGAGACTTGATGGACCCCACCAACCAGGGAGGGCTGTACGACTTTCTGTTAACGGCACTGGAGGTAAGGACATGTTTTCAACGGTGACAGTTGCCTTTTTTTGAGTAGTGGAGGCACTGATGTGTTATACCCTCATTTCATTCTAGAAATGTTTATAGGCCTAGCACAGGTTATTTTCCTTCTAGTCTAGAGAATATGCTTATCTTTAATTTATAATGTGCAGATTTAATCTTTTGTCTAGCCCGTGGGGCAGCATGGCTTCACTTTGTGTGCAAGAGGCCGGATTTTGACCCAAAGTTCCCAAACTTCTCCTTAATGGGTTGCTCTGTTCCTCTCCCAGTCATGCTATGAACACATACAGAGGATGAGACTCCACCAAAGAGAGAACTGCCACGGGACGCACAGCTCCTGAGCCCGAGGACCCAAAGGGAGCCTCCTCCCTGCCACGCTTTCTTGACCAAACACCGTTGGATGAAGAAGCAATCAAGTGACTGCTGTTCTGGCTGCCTTTAGAAAGGGAAGAACGGTTATTTATCAGATGAGGAGTTCTTGCTGGGTTTTCTCTTGGACTAGCTATGATCATAAAGCATGGATGCTGTGGGCTATGAGCCCTCAATATGCAACCTCAGCTTATGTTTGGGAATCTCTTTGCGGGAAGGGGCCAAGGTTTCTTTTGCCCTGTAGTTTTATCTCACTTTTCCTGCAAACAGCAATTTCCCGCAAAACCTCATTTAACTGTTCTCTCAGACACTGTGTTTGTTTTGCACGGGTGAACTGACATGAAGGGAGGTTACTTTATAGAAAGCGGTCGAATGAAACCACAAGAACTGTTTTGGTGGGACTAGTTCTGGTTGGCAGGAATGTGGCATGGACGAGAGGCCATCTCCATGCTCCTGAACAACCTGTTCCTGGAGGGAGGTGGCTTTTCCTGTATCCCTAAGAGGAAGGTTTTTCCATTCCTCTTCCTACCTGTGCCACACTCAGTACCTCTCTATTGCATTGTAAAGCTGCTATTGACTTAACTTCCTTGTTTTAGGATACCTACAAGTGTATATTTATAGTCTGCAGACTCCTGTTAAATCTCAGGGATACCACGCTTGCACCTTGAACGTGCTAGTGCTGCTTTCTAGTTCTGCAGGGGGTCGTGTGTGTCTAATAGACAGGACAGGCGTTGTCCTGGGGTGAGAAATCTCAAATCCTGGCAAGACAAAACACAAACCCACCTGGCTTTCTACACTAACAGGGCTGCAGAAACACTGGTTTTCCTAGGTGCACGGCTTCATGCTGACAGATCACCCACTGATGCCAGTGGGGTACGAAGCAGATTAGAAGTGGGCTGGGTTTTCTGCTGCCTTTATAAAAGGCAAATGGTTATTTGGTTCTCCCATTCCTATCAGACAAAGTTAGTAATGTCTGAGTTGGGTATTTAGAGCAAAAGCTCTTTTGAACTAGATTTTAACCTTTTTATTTTTTTTTATGGTTTGACTCTTAAATTGTCCAGGGTTATGACTTCAGGAAAACAATACACAACTCTACAGGCTGTTTCCTCCTGTTTATGACAAGTATTATGCTTTAATAAATAGTACACTGATTACAATAGTTAATATATTGGTATGAGAGTATCCTAATGTATGTTTTACAGTAACTTTGTATTTAAATAAAGCTGTTTAATTTTTAAGAGAGATTCCAGACTTGTACACTTCTTACTCCAACCTTGTTGCTGTCTTCAGGCATTTGAGATTTTTTTTCCTCTTTAACTTCATAAAATATGTGGCTCCCTTACTGCCTTGCTCATTCATAGGAATGGAGAAGTTGAACTCCAAATTAGTTTCCTAATGTAAGAGAGACCGAAACCATAAAACTAATTTTTGTGCTTCTGTTCCCTGCCGAATCATAACGAGAACATGGCTTAAACTTTAAGATCATCTCTTCCAATTAAACGACTCTTTTTTTTTTGCCCCTCTGTCTCACACCGATCACACTAAGCCTTAGCAGGCCTTACAAAGGATGGCTGGTAGACACCTTCAGAGTGTAAAAGCTAGACTTGTGGTTTTGCTGCTTTCACACAGCAAAGCCAAGCAGCCCCAGCTTCATGGGACATGAAATGAGAAGTCCTGTTCATCTAAGCAAACCCTGTATCAAATGGCAGCATTTAAAGTGGGTGGTGCCAAGACCAGTTGCACAGCATGCAGGGAGACCGAGGCATACAAACCCATGCTTTTCTACCACCACACAGATTGTCAGCTTTAAACCATTGTTCCTCACCTCTGTGAAATCTCACCTTATTCATTTAAGGAAGAAAGCTCCAGCTGCCTGTCTTGGAGGATGTAAACAGTCATAAGTAACAGCTGTGAACTTTTAATTTCAGAGTTGCTTAAAACTGGCAGTTTTCCAGTCCAAAGAAACACCCTGCCAGAAGGCTGATTCACTGAGATGTAGTCACAGCTGTTAAGAAAAAAAAAAAAAAAAAAAAAAAAAAAAAAAAAAAAAAAAAAAAAAAAAGTCTGTTTTCTCCATACTGCATTCTTCCATGCTCTGGGTATGGATTTTAATTTCAGGTAATGCAGAACTTCTACTAGAAAACAGGACATGCAAAATGCATGCATGTACAAACTCCACAGGATTACCTAGAAAACAATGGGATTTTTCAGCCTATTGAAGATTTCTACTATTGTACTTTCTAAACATATGGTTATTAGTTGCTTTTACAGGTCAGCTGGAAATTCTTGAGATATAATTCAAGCGAGCCCTAAAGGGGCAACTAACAGTGTGCAGCCACTTGTGCTTCTAGGCTTTCTCACCAACCAGTGAACGTGAGAGGAGTGCTTCACTGGAAATGCTCTTTTAGCCCAAGGGTAGCTTTCAGGTTGCAAATTGTGCTGTGTAACCATGCAGTAGTGCTATTTGGTGTGTTAACAGCATGGCTTTTTTTAGGAGATAATACGAGGTTACTTGCTAGCTTCCCTGATTAATCAGATCTCTGCTTGATAAAATACCGTGCCTTGAAATAGCGTGTAGAAATGTAAGAGTACATTCAGGTTCCTCCTTTTGAATTTGGGTGGATCGTGTGCTTAAATTATTAGTGGCAGATTTGTTATCAGGACTCCAGCTTCCTGATATGTTCAGTTTAATCCTGCAGACCCTGGAGCAGTATGAAAGCTGATGCTACCCGAGACTTTCAGCTTTAGAGAGATGTCACTGTACAGGAAATTAGTACAGTCAGCTCCTCCACATCCAGGCTACTGCTGTTGAGTCAGCTCAGGCTTCAAGGGAAAGTAACTAACTAGTGTCCTCTGATATCTGAGAAAAAAAAAAAAACAAAAAGAAAAAGAAAGGCTGAGCTGCACCTGGAAGCAGGAAAGGGCTTAAAGCAGTTTAGGTGTGACCAGACAAAGCAGAGCTTAACTGCTGGAGCCTGCCGTGCTGGTTTGTTGTCTGTATACAGTGTTCTCAGAAGCAGAGGGAACACGGTGCAGACCACTGCAATCTCAGTGTTTGGCCCTGGAGACCAAAGCTTGATCCACAGTGAATTTCTGTTCCCCTCCCCTGAATACATACTCACCAGCAGGGCTCATAATATAATACTAATGTGATTTGGGTTTCCTTTACCTGAGATTTTTTTTTTTTTTTCGCTGTCCAATTACACCAGACACTCAAACACTGTCAACTTAAAAGGTATTCAGTCATCTTATGAATGTACTCTCTCCCCACTCTATATTAAGGCTCTTTGTACTTCAACTGCAACAGCTATTAAACAGGGAGGAGTCAGTCTTCTACAAACACCCATTTTGCAAAAGGTTCATTTTACAAAGAACTGAATAAATAGGAAGTTAGAGTAGTGCTGTATCTATTGCTGCTTTCAAGTGGTGGAGCAATGCCTCCGGAGGTGGAGAAAGTGACGTCAGGTCTAGTTTCTTGAAATCTTCATTAGCACTCAGCGATGTTAACACCTTCACAGTCCTCTTTAAATCAAACACTGCATGGAGCATGCCCAAGGTGGAAATGGCAGCTTTTGGAGTGTTCTTTGCCGAAGCTTCGTCATCGAGGCCATTTTCCAAGACAGAAATCCTGTTTTCTGCAATAACTTTGAGGAAGTTGTAGAACTCCTTGTAGTCTATACCTGTGCAAGACTTCATGATCAACTAGGGGAACAAAACAGGATTGAAATGTAAACAACTGTCTTTTATTTACAGTAAAAATTACAAAAACATATCTTATCAAGCTAGTAACTATCTGGAATCACAAGCAACCAGGTTTAACCATGTTTTTTTAATTCCCTGCTGGCACTAGAGTTCTTTATCTGACTTGAAACAGTAGCCCCAAAAGCCACAGTCTGTTTCTGCTAAGTCCTACGTGGCTGTGTTTTTTGAAATTATTTTTGAAGGATATCAACCTAGCAGCAGTAACAGCATCCAGAAATAAACCGTACATTTGTTTCATGCTTAAGATTTTGGAAGCATACAAGATACGACGCTGCCCAGTATAGTTCTGAGAGCATCAATTGGCAGACACAGAAACCTGCTGCCACCTTCACCTTAATTTTGCTTGTTTCAGATTCGTGGTTTCATCCTGAATGGTCTTCAAACCAGTTCTTCTGTGTGGGGTCTGTCTTACCAGTAATTCTGTTTACGTGAAAAAGCACTTATAAAGGGGAACATAAATACTACATAAAGGATTGATCTCGATGCTAATGCTAACCTTGAGAGTTGAAGAAGCGCAGCTGAAGCACTGGTTTTTCAGACAACATCCTAACCTCCTTGGCAGAGCAAATATGCACCGGCATGAGCTTTTTCCTGTCTTACTAAAGTAATACTTGATTTCCTGCAAAATGAAGCTGTCACCAGTTCCTACTTCTGTAGGAAGCATGTACTAATTCCAGTTGTGAGGTTAAGGACTTAAGGTGTCTTAGAATTCATAAGGTGGTGCGACACACCTTGGAAATACATGATCCTCTAACAGAGAGACAGGCAGCCCGCATCATGTTGTTATACCTGGCATTGTAGGTGCCAATCATCCATAGGGTCCTTCCATTCATTGATTTCCCGCTGGACAGCTGCTAATTCATCCTGCAGGAAGCACCACATTATAGCCACATTGCAGCCATTCACCCAGTTGTGGTTAATGGAAATGGTATCCTCCTGAGGGAATAATTTAAATGGTTTCAATAGGCTACACAGGGAAGCGTGAGAAAACAGCTGTACCGCCACTGATGCCACAAAATGTAAAATCTTATTCCTCAGCAAGGGAAATGCTTCTTTGGCACCAATACCACCACTGTGCTGAAAGGCTGTCTCTTTCTAGAGACAATCAAATCTTGTTTCACTTTCTAAACTGGCAAATGACTCTAGTTCCTCTGTCTGAGCACACCTTTTAAGGGCACAAAGGTGGGAGAAGGTGGTGGGGAGAAAGGAACACAGTTGTTAATTTTGGTTTGCCATCACAAAGACCAATTTGTTACCATTTTCTATAATTAAATTACAATTTACAGTTAAAAACCAGGATTAACAGCCTCACCATAAGTCCATCCCACCTAGCATCCTGTTTCTCAGTGACTAGTAGCATCTAATGAGGAAAAACATAAGGAAAGAGGGTTCAGACAGCTCCTTCAATTGTACATTCTTCCAGCTTCTAGTGGTCAATGACCCAAGGAACTTATGAGTTCGGGCTTGCTTTTAGCCACCATCTTGAGCGGCCCCTGATAGGCCTTTCCTCCGTGAATCTCTCTAAACTTTTTTGCAGCCCAGTTAGACTTTCGGCATCCACAACATGCTGTGGCAATAAAAAGTTTGATCTGAGTCAAGCCTGCTGCCTGGTTCTCTCCCTCTGTTATGAAAAGGTTGGTAACAGTTACCTTACCAGATTGTAAACTTGATGATGCCATCCGCTGGGGATGAAGACTATCTCCCCTGCTTCCTGAACAATTTCAACAGGGGGTTGACTTTGGTTGTAGCGAGGGTAAACACTCCTGTCCTGAAGACTAGGTGCAGTCACGTCGAAGGGCAAGTTGCCGTGGCGGTCTTTCAGGTACTCCTCCTGTCCCGCGGGGTACAACAGCCATTTCTTTCTCCCACATATATTGGCTGACCAGCTATAGGAACGGAAGACATCAGCATGGAACGGAGTCCTGTGGGGCAAATCGGAGGTTTAAGTAAAGACAACACCTAAAAGCTGTAAGATGAATTAAAGTCTCTGAGAATCATACGCACAGAAATCAACCTTTACCATGCAAACCTGATCCCAAAGCATCACCCCCTTCATTATATTTCAACTGCTTTAAGCATTAAAAGGCCACTATATCTACACAGCACTGCAGTGGTTTATAGCCTCTGTGCTTCTTCACCAGTTAGTTTTGAAACTGTCCCACAAATACCTCAGTGGCAGGAGATTCTGTGATGTGAAATGATGGGAATACTGTAAATGCAATTTCATCCCCAATGCTGGACCAGCAAAATATTTGACCAACTCATCAGCGCCCCTCCAAGGCTTCTGTGGGCTCTGCAAATATCAAGTGGCTGATGATCCCCAGGGATTTTCTGCTCTAAAACCTTATATAAAAGCTAGCTGACAACTTCTGCAGATTTTGCGTGCACAGTTCAGGGCTTTTTGAAGCGCAAAAGCACTTTAGCTGATCATGTAAGGACAGCTTGCATCCAGAACCAAATGAGCTGCTTGAGAAACAACGGCTGGCTGGGTTCAGGTACACCACTAGACCGCGTGGCCATGTGCTGCTTCTGCAGCATGATGCTATCCTGAAGTACAACATGATAATCCCCTGTAATACTAAATCTTAAAAATGAGTATGTAAGAATGACAGAAACCACGCTTGCCTTACCATGAACCTTTAGGTCCCATGTAGACAAACCGGTAATCATCCACAGCTATAGCATCCCAGTATTCATTCAGCCAGTCGGATGAGAAATACACAGGGGTTGTATAAACATCTTGCTCAGGGAAAGCTCTTAAAAAGATAACGGGTTGGAAATTGGTTTCAGAAAAATGCAGCATTGCTCCTACTTCAGTTCCCAAAACCCAGATACAGAGACCCATCAGGTCTCTAGCAGGCCATTAATACCTTGCTGCTGCCTCCTTTGTCTCATTGACAATTCTGAGTTGCACGCAAAATGCACACAATAGTGCTTTTCTGTCTCCCAGGAAAGCTGTGAAGGTTAACTACTGTTTGGGATACTCCTCCTAATTATGGCAGAGACAGTTCCTAATAAACCCATTCTCTTCAGATGAGACTGGTTGTCCAGCTGGGTGACAGGTTAGGGTGTGAGGGTTAGGAGGGAAGCCAGGCTGTGGGATTTTGGGCCCTTCACTACAGGAAAGATGTTGCGCTGCTGGAACATGGCCAGGGGAGAGCAACAAAGCTGGGGAGGGGTCTGGAGCCCCAGGCTGCTGGGGAGCGGCTGGGGGAGCTGGGGGGGTTCAGCCTGGAGCAGAGGAGGCTGAGGGGAGCCCTCATCGCTCCCTACAACTGCCTGAGAGGAGGGGGGAGCCGGGGGGGTCGGGCTCTGCTCCCAGGGAAGGGGCGATGGGAC